GCCTTCTTATGTAGTTAGATGGATTGAACTTGGGTCAATGCAAGTCGTATGTCAGAAGAGTATGATGGAGGAGAAGAGTAGACTTCGACAGTCGGAGTTAGCCTCTTCTGGTTTAAGCGAAGAGCAGATTCCTCCACCATCTCCTCCAAAACGTCACCAGAAGTGGAAGAGGGCGCGTACAAAGCCTTCTGGTGACATGACGTCGCCTGAAGCCCGAGAAATTGCTGCTCGGATTGTAAGTAAAAGAAGTTAATTTACTTTGAATTAGTTATATGTAACATGTTCATTAATAAAATTAACTTTTATAATGTAGGATGCCTTGGAGGAGCAAGTGTACACAGGGAACTTTCATCCCTTCTGGTCGTCAGGATATCTTGACCATCGCTATTGGACGACCGTAACATCCAGGTCGTGTTCGAGCCGTTGGCCAAGGTGTGGGTGTCCGACATTATTTTGGACCACCATCACAGGATATCCGCACCTCCACATCCCCGAGCCAAGAAGATATTGCTGCCTTGGAGATGGCTCTCACGAGAAATTGACACCAGCCATCGTGGCAAAATTGGAGGAAGAGTTGACTCCCGCCATCGCCGCACGACTTGAGGAGACGATCACCGCACGTGTGCAGGAGCAGCTTGCTGCGTATGTCCTCCATGGGTACTTCATTTCCCGATGCTCATCCTCCATCAGTGCATTTTCAACCACAAATTGGATTGGTGCTTGACTTGTGTTTCTAAAATCTTAGTCCTTATTGGAATTTACTATATTTGTAGGTCCAAGAGTTAGCACAAAGGGCAGTTGTGCTGAAGCCACTATCGAGGTCACACCCGAGGTGGCATCTATTCATCCCGAATCCACAAAGGATGATCGATATGGCTTGTGGGTTGAGGTAGATGAAGGTCTAAGGCTAGTGGCCCATGGATCAGCTTCATGAAGGGGCTTCAACCATCCACAATGTGCCTTTGGATCCTAACTTGGTCAAAGTAGTGGTTGAAAAGGTGGTTGACGCTGCGGCTAGTGTCCCTATCCCCACCGAAGAGGTGCAGACAGTGGGCCAAGCCCTTCGGACCTTCATTAGTTGGCCCCGACATTTAGTTAGGTCAATCATGGCAAAGGTATGTATATGTATGGTTATAATACATCTAACACATAAATAAATTGATTTATTGTTTATGATTATATTTTATAAAATATGTAGGATGTTCGGCAATCAAAAGACTTGGGTAAAGCTATTGCCACTCCTTCCGCATCTAAGGAGAAGACACCAGCTTGTGGAGACTTCTCCAAATCCCATTTTTGATCTCTTGTCTCTTTCCCCACAATTATATATGCAGTCATTCCAAGTTCCATGGGATTGTACATTATTTGGGATGACTTCTAGCAATATCCCCTCTACATTTCCCACACCGATGCCCTGGAGATTGGGATGGGCAATCAATGTCTAAATATAGTCGTTTTACAATTTTGGACATTGTAAGTTCATATCTTTCATGACTCTTTTCATTTTAGTAAATATATAAGCTATAAGTTCACTTAAATTGGCATATTTTAGGATGATGCACGAAATGATAGTGGAGCAGGGCATTGGTCACGTGTATGGATTCTTCGAGCCTCAATCCATACAAAAGTCCGGGAATAAGCGTGATCAAATTGTCGGTTACATCCAGAATTGGATGACTGTCTCTAAAAGAGATATTTACCTTGGAGCATACCATCATTCGTAAGTTATCCCAACCTCTTCCTGGTTTTACACAAGTTTTTTTAATAGATTCTAATCATGTGTATATACAAAAACCACTCGGCAGCTATTAGTTATTTGTCCAAAGCGTAATCTTGTGTGTTGGTTCTGCTCATTGGGAAGAAAACCTGGACATGGAGCTAAAAAATATTGTAAACGAGTAAGTATTTATTATATTATGTCTAAACATCTTGATTATTCTATTTCTAATCCCCTTATTTTCAATATATAGTGCTTTAAAGGTTTGTAGTACATTAGATGGAAAACACACAAGTAAAAGCACAACTCCAAATTGGAATTTTATGAAAGTAAGTAGCCTTTATATATATTATACTATCTATTAATTTACGTTCAAATTTAATAGTTATTTTTAATATATTTACTCATTTTTAGTGTAACAAACAAAATGGAGGCTACGAGTGCGGCTACTATGTAATGTATTGGATGTGACTCATCATTTTTGGTTGCATTCAGGATAGTTGGGACGAGGTAAGTTGACATTTGCTATTATATTCAATTCCTTTATTTTTATTGCTTAGTGTTTACCATTCTATTATTGTGAACTTCTTACAGGCATTTAAAGATATAGAACCTTTGCCTATGGATACAATAGACATGGTTAGAAACAAATGGGCGTAAAGGTTTGTGCAAGTAGTTAGGAATAATAGGATTGATTGATAATTTTTGTGTATTATGTACATAATGTGGTTGGACTCGAGATTGTAAGTGTATTGTGTAAATATATAGTGATTATGTGAATCAGGCTGAGATTGTGTATTGTGTATATATTATGTATTGTGTAAATCTGGTCGGATCGAGATTTATATAGCAAGTCGTGTATGGTAGCACAAAAACAGACCAAAATTTAAAAAAAAAATGGATATTCTACGCTCGGTTATTGCATTAACCGACGTTGAAACGTCTTTCGCTTGAGCGAAACGCTCGGTCGCTTGAGCGAAACAACACCCGAGCGCCCCTTTGTTTGAAGGCTTCGTCGCTCAAGCGAGTACACCGGTCGCTTGAGCGATAAACGACTTTCAACGTCGGTTATCCAATAAGCGACGTAGAATTTACTCATTTCTACGTCGCATTTGCATTAATCGACGTTGTGACGTCGGTCGCTGAGCGAAAACTCTGGTCACTTGAGCGAAACAAAGAACCGAGGGTCCCTTTGGTTTGAAGGCTTCGTCGCTCAAGCGAGTACACGGGTCGCTTGAGCGACTTCAACGTCGGTTAGTTCAATAATCGACGTAGATGTCTACCACTTTCAACATCGGGTATGATGAACCGACGTAAAATCCTTTGACATTCAACGACGCCTGATTCAACGGCGTCATTGGAACCGACGTTGAAAGCCTTCTACACCCGACGTTGAAAGCCTTCTACACCCGACGTTGAATGCTCGTTCTGCAGTAGTGTATTTCAGATGAATTATGTAATTTTAACTATTATCATAATAAATCCCTGACAAGTAATTCCCTGACAAAATAAATTCCTTAGTGTGTATTTCAGATGAATTATGTAATTTTAACTATTATCATAACAACTCTTGTGGCTTTTGTTTCGTACCTTACAAGCTGTGCAGAGGAAAAAAGATTGAAATTGTACTGTTCACTTACAATAATTCGAGTGAAAGTCTACGTTCATATTATGATGTCACGAGGTTGAAAAAGAGAGAGGTTAGTTCTACAAACTTTCATGATACGTGAATGATGTGATCTTACAACTAAATTTATGTAAATCTGTAATAATTCAAAGTTGTTGAATAAATGAAATCGACACTGTTGTTTCAAAAATTGAAAATTCGTTTAATAGTTCCAACGAACAAGACTGATACACTTGACGAAGTTGGTGTAAAGAATGTGTTTCACAGATAAAAAAATATATATTAAATTTTATTTTTCTTTCACCGTTTGTTAGACTCATTTTTGACGTAACTGTCGTCATGATTATTTTTTGTCTGAATTGTATCTTAATATTTTCATTTAAGAATACCATTATTTCTTCTTGAATAAAAAATGGTTTCAAAATTAATCTGAAAATAAATTTTGTGTTATTGGAACGAAATTAATTTAAAAGATAAACGAGACAAAGTAATTAAAAAATAAAATAAATATAAAAAATTCCTTTTCGAAGTATAATTTAATAAAACAATGTCTCAATAAATTCTATTTTTTATTTTTGAATTTTTTTCTCTAATTTTTTTAAACCTATTTTTCTCGGAAAAATATTATAATCCTCATCTTCATAATTATTACTATCAGCGTCATTTTCATAATAATCATTACATTATTCTTTTCATAAACTCTTCATCTCATCAGGTAAGAGTGAAAATGATTTTAATATATATATATATCTTAAAAGTTAATAAGAAAAATTGTTATTGAATATAAAATTAAAATTATGCTTTATTTGAATTTAGTTTTTTCTTTATCAAATCTGTGATGGTAAAAAATTATTTAAATTTTTCATTTAAAAAAAAAATCTAACGAAAAATAAAAAATCATACTATTTTTTTATAAATTATCTCATTTAATCAAATGTGAATGGACTAATTAAATTAAATGAAATGTACATTTAAAACATAATTTTCAACTATATTTGCCCTGGTACAATAGTTAAATTTCATATCACTTGAAGTCAAATAGTTTAAAAGCCTAAAAGTCAAGAATAATTAGATAATTTAAATATAGTTTCTTTTCTTAATCTACCATAATTTCAAATTATTTAAAAGTCAAAGTCAACATAATTAGATAGTTTAAATATAATTTCTTTTCTTAATCTACCGAAATTTCAAAGTCAACAATATCTTGGAAGTAGGTCGATGCTATTATAACTACGTATTCGTATAAAATTCTCTTTCTTAGTAAAAATTGCTTCTGACAGTCTTACCCCCTCCTGTGAATGCAAAACAAAGGTTGGTTAGTTGGAATGCACTCTGCAAGTAGAAGGTAAAGTTTGAAAGGGTTTATAATAATATTATCATTATAGATTAGCCACCTCGTACGAAATGTCTCAAATTGACAGAACAAGAATCTAGATGTTGTTATTTATACATTGCAACATTGCCTGAAATTCAGGAATAATTATGAGAAGTTGAAACACATAGGAAATGTTATTTTGGTACAATGTCAGTGTGATTCTAGAAATCAGACAAGTTAAACAGGAAATAAAATTTGTACCACTTCACAAACTTGCACTTGAAACAAAGTTAATGCACAATTTCAGAATCAAATTACACTCCATCACAAGGATGCCTCCTTCACCGCCAGGCTTCTATTCTCTCTGATCTTGAATCTATGCGGCTCAGATTGCTAATACCCTTTTTCTCAACACCCACAGTTGCATGTAAGCCTCTGGTTTTTTTGGACCCCTTTTTAGCACTGGATCTACTTGATTGTCCACTCTTACTCTTTCCAATGTTTCCTTTGGGTGGAAACTCACAATACAGTTCCTCCTCAAAATCCAGATTCTCAGAAGAGCCTCTCAAACTGCCACATTCTCCTGCGGTTGAGTATTTGTTTTGGAGAGATTCAGGGGAACATTCTAATACAGTTTTCTCAAAAACAAAGGTTTCCCCAGATTCTTCACTTTCAGTGGCAACATCATCGTCTTGGTGGCAGGCCTCCAAAAGACTGTGGTCCCCGTTCTCATCAGAAGGCTCTAAACAAAATCCGGGGGATGATTCTACCACACAATCCTTTCTTTCTCGCAGTGTCCTTAATACAAGTGTCTTCAGGAAGTTCATCACTTGAACTGCATACATCAATGCAGTCAAAGGGTCTGCCATCTGCAACCAAATAAATATTAAATTTTCTGACTGAAACCTACCATAATAAAAGACATCAACTTTATCACATTGGCCTCTTTACTACTCTAGGAACAAATATGACACTATCAGGACTTCACTTGAGGCAAAAGTATTGTCACAAATCACAATGACCATGTAATGTGCCTAGACACAAAAGGCCTGTTTGGACACAAACACTTCTATGAGAGAAAAATAAGAAAGAAAAATGAAACCAGCTTCTTCATAAGTTAATATTAGCTTATCAACAAGTTAAATATCAAATTTTGTACAAGCTAATAGGAAATAGCTTCTAAAATTTTTAGCTCGTGTAGGTACTCATGGAAATATTTTTCCAAACAGACCCAGAGAACTAATTTCAAACAGATAGTACACAAAATACTTCACTTTGAGAATAAAACTTGATTTGAAATTCCAAGATGTCTACATGCAATATAGTTAACTAGAGAATAGAAAATTAATTGGGACTCACATGAGTCATGTTTGGTGCAAAAACCATGGCGATGTTGCGTGCATTCATCTTATTCAGGCGTTCCTCTTGGACAACATCTGCCATTAGATTGATGGCCCAGTCCAAGAGAGAAGCTTCGGTGTGAGGTAGCTGCCTCACCAGTTCAGCACAATCATCTTCAGTTTGGCATTGCATTACATGCTCTGGTGACAAAGAATCCAGAACACCAGTAGGCAGTTCCCTAAACCAAGCCTTGAAAAGCACAAGAATGTCAAAACCAAATTATCAATGTAGTGGATAAACCTCTCATCACACCAAAAACAAAATCATGATGTTTCTTAACATGTACCATATTTCTTTTTAATGTTATACCTTAATTAGTCCAGCTAAACAATGTATATCAACATCTTCTGGGACCAATCCCCTGTTTAATTGATCCCTAACATACTCCTCATGAGTATTGTCTGCATTAATTCTGAAAATCCCCTCTGCCTGCATGGATAAATTCAATTGTTTAACCGAGCAGGACCATACAAATAGTCACTTTGTAAATTGAAGTAACAATCAAGTTTGTATAGAGTGGTGGATTATAAAGCAGGACTATCATTTTCCTTTTTGACATATTCTAAATTGTGTTCAGTTGTTTACTTCAATGTGATGAGATGAGAACTTGTGAAGAGTAGAAGCAAAACTGAAAAAGATCTAGGTGATGAACCTGCAACCCTCTGAGAGCATACAAGTGCCTTTGCATTAATAAAAGTATAGTTGGCACACTGTTCCCTCTCGTATCATATGATAACTGCATGGATTCTGTTGAAACTCCAAAAACAGTTGCACTGCATGTGTAAATCAAAGCAAATACATCAAAAATCAAACAACATGGTAGTTATTTACATCACAAAATCATGATAGAGACAAATAACATCCCTATTCACGACAAAGACAGCTAACTACAAATATCATACAAAGTTGGCAGAGCTTTCAAATTCTCAAAGCAAACTTTTGATGCATTGGATCAAATAACAGATGCAAGTAACAAAATCATCCATCAGTAAACATGCAATCCACAAATTATAACGCTTGTATAGTGATTCAAAAACATTATTAAATAGTATTCTAGACCCTCTTGAAGAATTCATATATGGAGTCCTTCTAATAGAAGATGAACCTCATCATAACCACAAATCACAGGATCATAGCCCAAAAATTATTTAGAGGCAGCGATTCTTACAAGTAGGAAACACCAAAATAACCGAATCGAGAACGGTATAAACATGCCAAAAAAGGCCTATTGAGGTATTTTTCTCCAATTTTAACATTCAACTCACATTCCATAAACATTGATTTAAGAGTCAGAATCATATCTCTCCAATTTAACAATTTACTCACATTCTATCATCATTAACTTAAGAATCACATCGCCCTAAGTTTTGACAATTTACTCACATTCTATAATCATTGACATAAGTGTCAGAATCTCTCCACAAAAATTAGGCTCATGAGTATAACCAAACTGCAAGAGCTTTTTACTCACTCCGTCACACAAGGATGAAAGTTTAAGATTCTGTCACACAGAATAACCACTTAAGAATCATACCAGTCACACTTTTGAAATAATTTTACTAAAATGATTTCACTTTTCCAATAAATACATTGCTTTTGGAATGATAGAAATATCAGTCAATATAAATATTTTTTATAAGACTAAATCTGTAGTAATTGTGGGAAGAAGAGAGAATATAATAAGAAACATGATAACATTATGACATAAGATAATTAAAAAACTAACAGAGTGGTCAGCACGTACCTAGCACTGGGAGGTCTTGTGGAGACTTCAGGTTCGAACTCACGTGGCAAGCCCAAGAAGCCATTGAACCTGTCGAAGGTGACATGCGCAACATGGCGCACGTTAGTGGGCCAGCCAATATCCATGGCGCAGATGTCCCCTCTCCCTTCACTCTTGCAAGCAATCAACGATTTCCTAAAAAGGGTCACAAGAATGGCCAGCAGCGACAGCTCCTGCTGTGTCCTGTCTGTTACCCCGCGCACGTCACAGTCGGTGACCGTAGCTAACCGCTCCACCACCGCAGACGAGGGTGGCGGTGGTTCTTGCTCGGCGGAGACAATTAGAATGCCATCAGAGGAAGAAGCGGTTGGCGACGAAGAAGAAGAGAAATGAAGCACCTCGGTCATGGCTCGCACTGAAAAAGAAAAAAAAAAAATCCTTTTTCTTGGAATATAGTAAATGGAAGAGAAGAAAGAGACCCTTAACGAAAATTAAAGAAAATGTCCGGTTTTGATGAGCAAGTTGTTGTCTTTTGGGAGTTGGATCCAAGAAAAAGGTTCCCAACAATGTGGAACGTGAGAATCATTAACTGGGATTTTTTAATGTAGTTTATGTTGAAGTGTGTGTTTTTGAAGAAGTGGAGGAAAGATGATGCTGGTGTGGAGAAAAGTGGTGGGAAAGAAAAGAATTGAAGAGAGTGAAATTTTACAGCACAACAGTAGTTAAGAGCAATAATAGTGTTTGGTGGAGATAGGGTGTGTGAGTTGTGTCATTTATCCAACTTCCATTTCACAAGAATCCAAAGCTCCAACCACACTTGTAAAATCTGGTCTGCAATTTCATTCAATGAGTTCATGATTTGATCAATGAGTTCATTCAATCAATAGAGCATAACAAATAAGAGAATTATATATTTGTATTAAAACTGTTCCTGGAGTAACTTAAATTGTAAAAGGATATAATTTAGTAATACAAATATTAACCATGTCTTATAATCAAGTGTTTATTTTTCATTCATATAGTCCATGGGAGAAACAATCTTATAAAGAATGCTTATTCCTGTTTGTTATATTTTATTTATACTTTATATTTTAGAAAATAAAAATAAGTGATAATAAGAGAGTGGGGAAAAAATATTTTTATGTTAAAATTATTATAAAAATGAATTAAATATGTATAATTTTATCTTAATAATTTAAATGTTAATGTCTTTTTAAGAAAAATATTCTCCATGTGTCATAATCCGTTTATAATTTTTAAACTAATAGTTTTTTATGTCCATATCATTGTATAAATAAAATTAAATTTGTATAAGTAAAATAAGTTCTTCAAATAGTTTAATTAAATAGGAAAATAATAATATATATGTATTTTATTTGATTTTTTATGTAGATAAAATTAAATTAATTATCATAAAATAATTTATTTACATAAAATTATTTAATGAATAAGCCATTATGGCTAAAAGTCACCATTTTGTTAATTATGCATGCAAATAGGTTTTGTCTTGTAACAAATTTTAATCATCATTATGTTAAAATTAAATAATGTATCTCATTATTATACTTAGATTATTTCAACATACTCATTTGGATAGTAATTAATACCACCGGGACTAAAGACATTGGGCATAATTTTCTTATTAATAGTTAATTAAAATTTTAGAAAATAGATATTAATGAGAATAAAAGAAACAATATCATAAATAGTATATTTTAAAAAACAATTACTTAAATAAAATTCCTAGGTTTATTTATTAGACATGTTTACTGTTCATATACCAAATTTAATAAGAAAAAATAAATTCATATCATATAATATAAATGTTTTTCTTCCTTTCTTTGTCTATTCTTTTTATTTTTCTCTCTCTTTTTATTTTCTTATTGTTTTTGTTTTTTCTATCTCTTATTCTTCTCTCACTCCATCTTATTTTTCAATTAAAAATAATATATTAAAATTTAATAATATAAGTATTTTATTATTACTAAAAAAATAAAAGTATTTAAATAACTCAAAAATATTATAATTTAATATATTATATTTGGAAAAAAATATTACATTGATAAATTTAAGATGTTACAAATATTATTGCTATGTTATAATTATTAAATAATTTAAATATTTATTTTAAATTATTTTTTAATAAATATTTTTTAAATTACCTAATCTAATTAATTATCATAACTCAAAATTATTATAATTAGATAAAATTATTAAATAAAAAAATATATTTAATTTATAAATATTTGATATTTTTAATTATATAAGTAATTATTTATTATAATAAAATAATTTAAAATTAATTATTTACGTTATTATGAATAAAATTATTTATTATCATAATTTTAAATAATTAGTTAATATTTTTTAGTTTCAGTAATTTTTGTTTAAAGTATTTGTTTTAACATCTTTTGGTTGAATTTTAATATAATAGTTTAATTAGGAGAATAAATAAGAAATGAAAGAGAAAAAAATGAGATAAAAAAATTAACGAAGAAAGAGGAAAAATAAAAAAAATTATAAAAAGATAAGAAAAAAGTTCAATTTATGTAAATAAATTCATATAATTCTATTTAGATAAAAAATTTTAAATATATTATTCTTAGATTTATTCAATAATAAAACTTAAACATAACTTACACAAAAAAAACCTTAAATATATATATATATATATATATATATATATATATATATATATATATATAAACATACTAATTTAAATTAGTTTAAAAGATTTAAAAAATTATTTTAGTAGACATGGTAACTAGAGGTCTCAATATAAGTTATACATGTGAGTCATCATTCATCACGAGTTTGAACTGGGTTGAGTTTTATTTTTGTTTATTTATACATTAAAATTGAACCTGACTTATTATAAATTTTAAAAATAATTATAATAATTTATCAATAATTATAATAATTTAGTAATGACAATTGATATTATTTTGTCTCTTCACCTTCGTTTTATGCCGCTACAAATAATTATAATAATTTATCAATAATTATAATAATTTAGTAACGATAATTAATATTATGTTGTCTCTTCATCTTTATTTTATGTTGCTATAAGTCAAATTTTCACTCAAGTTTATCATTAAAAATAATTCGTCCACAACTACGTTCACTGCTACACCAGTCTTGTCGTGCCTCTCGCACCATTTCATTTCAGCTTTACTATTATGTTGTGATTACTAAAAAAATGAAAAACCAAAAAATAAACATAAGTTAGTAAGTCAACCTATCTAACTCAATAACCGGCAGTGGATTAAACTGGATTGTAAAACTTTTGACTTGTCATAAAGTGAGTCAGACTAAATTCACTTATTTTCAACTTAATAGTAAGTCATTCCGTATGAGTCAGATTGACTCACTTTGACACCATAATTATAACTCTATTAAAACCATGTAAAAAAAATTAATTTTATCTATATATATATATATATATATCATTTGCATGCAACTTATTAATATTTTAATTTTAACGTTTAAAATTATTGTATAAAATTTTATAAAATATGGTGACAATTAAAAAATATTTTTTAAGCAAAATCATGGTGCTCTTCATTGTATACAATTTGAGAATGTACAACTATGTTGGACAAGTGTTAAGTATTAGTATGATATGTTTCTCAATTTATCCATTAATTTATTGTTGTTGTTTTAAAATACAATTATATAATTTATATTTCACCTAGTCCTAGTTATTATCATATATTTTTTGTAGAGTTAAATATATTTTTATATTTACATTTTTTTTAACTTGCTATAATTTAAACATTAGTTATTTAATTCTCAAAATTTAAAAATAAATAAAATTTATTTGTTATCAATTTGATTACATTAAAATTGTTATCAAATATTTAGTCTTATTTAATTATTTATCAAATTTATACATATATATATATATATATATATAATTTTTAACATGATATTTTTGTATAATCTTTATAGTTACCAGGGAAAGCATAAGTATTTTAGTGCCAATGTTTATATTTTCTATTTATTAAATTTTAAATTTTTAACTATTTTTTTTAATATATATTACATTTATTTTTCATTTATATACATATAACTTTATTTCTCCTCTTTCTTTAAACGAAATCAATAATAAGAAATATATATTTTAAAAGAAAAAATTTCAAATATAATATTTGTTAATTAATTTATTTATTTAAAATTATTTACTATTTATATATAAAATTAGATTATCATAATTAAATTCATATATATTTTGTTATTCTCTCCAGTCATATTAAAATAAATTTTGATAAAAATATATTAAAGTCAATTTTATGAAAAATATGTTTAAAGTCAAATGATATAATATGAAAACTAATATATGTTAAAAAATCTATATTTTAAATTAATTATTTATTGTCTTCGTAATCTTAAATAATCAATTAATATTTTTTGAATGTTGATTCAAAAAATATCATAAATTAATATATTTTTATAAAATTTTAATATAATATTTTTAATTAAAAGAATAAGATGGAATAGGAAAAAAAGTGAGAAAAATATATAATAAATAAATAAAAAGAGAGAATAATAATAAAATGACTGAGGAGATAACAAGAATGATTGAAAATAATTTTAATTCTGAGCAATAAAATTATGTGTAGAAACAATAAATTTTAAAGTGAATAATTAATAAATATTTTATTTAAATCATTTATATTTTAAAATATATTATTTATGTAATTTTTTTATTAATATCTTTGTTTTATTAGTAATATATTTATAAAAATAATTATAAATAATGATAAAAAATTGATTACAAAGAGATAATTTCTTTTGTATTCACTATAGTTAAAACATTGACACTTTAGTGTCTTCCTGTATGTCTACGTCTCTTTTGTTTTTGTTTTGTTTTTTTTTTCTCTTTCTTATATTTTTACTATTTTTAAATATATAAATTATAATAATTATTTTTTAAAATTATAATAACACAACAAATATTGTAAAATAATATCTATAGATATATAATAAGTATTAAACTAAGGGAAACATAATACACTCTAATATCTATCCAGATTTTATATTATTTTTTTTCTTTGAATTTAGTGCACGTTCTTTTATTTATTCAATTCACAAGTTTTTTTTTTATCTTTGTCATATTTGATAAAAAAATAACATTATATTGTAAGTTATGATATAAAAGTATTATAATTTTTTTTATAATTTATATTTAATTAATAATAACATAGATGCAAGTATACCTCATATTGAACGGATTATATATATATATATATATATATATATATATATATATATATATATATATATATATATATTATCAATTAATGTTAGTATAAACCTTTTAACTTTTAACATGTTAGTATAAACATTTTCTTGGTAATTAAAACTCTTATCCTCATTTTTAATTATTCCTCACTTTTGATAACAG